TCTTTCTACTAGTAAGGCAAATAAAACTCATGTTGTTCGAAAAAGAAAAAATTCCAAACAAAGCCAACAATATCACAGAGAATAAAATTAAAGAGAAATACATTTGGAACTATGTAAGGATGAAGACCAATGTGTTCTCAGATGTCACTCCCCCAATATCTTAATAAAAGACGCTTGAGTAAAACTCAAGTTTAAAGCTAGAGCTCAAGGCACACATTTACCCTTTAAACTCCTGAGTGGTTGAAGATCTAGCAGAGGAGTTATGGGAAAGCCGGGATGTCCTGGGCTGATTCTCCTTCACAGCCACTCCAGTGACCCCAGGTAAGCCTTGCCTTCTCATCTCCAAGGCAGTCAGTCACTGATTCCTAAAGGCTCATCCAGCTTTTCTTCCAGTTTGGAAACTAGCACTGCAAAACAAAACCCTAAAATGTTTGCCTGGAGCAAAGAAAAAAGGTTTGGCTGCTGCAGTGTTTCTTAAGAGAAACTGGGACACTTTCACTATGGTTCCTCCCTGCATTCCTGGGGGTGAAGCAAGCACCACAGGAAGCAAAACAGCAGGAGAGAAGATGATTCAGCCCACACTGAGGCCACACGCCCAGGAGCTTCTCAGTGGCCTCCTGATCTTATCGCTGTACATTGTCCTTTCCTATAACCTCACTGCCTTCTGCAGTATCTTTATTTGTATCATATTGTAAGGCTGTCCCACTCGCTTTGCACTGGGAAATGTGGCGCTGAAACTTATTTACTGTGAATACACTGTCTTGGTGATGTCACGTGTGTTCAGAGCCCTGACCAACAATATGATTGTGATGGCTGTTCTCACGGTCTCAGGGGAGTTTGGTAGGGGGAGGAAGTGGCTTCTGCTGTGATTTTTTTTTAAATAGTGGGAGAATGCAAATGGGAAAATGGATAAACGCATTGTTTTTTAGCTAAAGGCTAGAAGCAAACTTTGAAGGTTGGGTTTGCGATTTCTTCAAAGCAGCTGCCTAAGAATTAGATTTCAAAGTCCCCTTAATACATAACTCCCTTCACACAAGAGAATGACAGCTCATCATTCTGCTGTCACTTCTATATGTATAAAATAGAAAAGTAATTAGAAATACTTCACAAGCAAAATGGCAGATCCTGAAGAATAATCTTGAGGAGGGTGGGGATCTAGAAGCCCTAATATTCCTGGAGAACTTCACTGGGAACTTCTGGAGACACCGGCTGGCTGGCTCCAGTCTGCTGACTGCTAGGGTCCACTTGGTGTCAGCAGACACAGATAACTACCAATTGGAGTTGGGCTCTGAGATTGGCCAAAGTCTGATGAAATGTTTAGTTGGATGCACTGTTTATTTCAAAACAATCATGTAGCGTAGTTGAATGTTCTGACTCACTAATTCTCTGGGAAATGAGACCTCTGAATGTGGCAGAGAAGCATTTGAAAACATTCCTGGGACACCCAGCTGCTGTCTTACTTCTATCAATGGAGTTACAGTGTGCAAGTTCCAAAGAACAAAAAAAGCAATACTTTGGTGTATTGCTTACAAAAAGTGCCTGGGTGGTCTACTTGCTTTTTAGGTTAATCAAAAGCTATGTGTACTAGGGTTCAAAACTATAGTTTTTAATATTTTTTACTGGAAAAAATCATTAATTAAAGTATGCTAAGGAAAAAAGAGGCATTTAATACTTGTTACCTACAAATTTTACTCTGGATTTTTCTCTGGTTGCTATGGTACTTCTGAGCCCAAGTCAACAGAGGTGGTCACCAACAATGGGTCAAACACAAATGAGAAAACTAAGCCCAGCATGGCATTACCACCCACTCAAAGGATGAGTTCTTGCCACCCAGGGGCTAAACCTAGCTAGAAGAGTAACCAAACCCTGTATGGTTTAGGTCAGTAATGATCTATAAAACTCTGATGTGCTGAGAGGCAGGGCTTTTGGAAGGTGATTGGATTATGGAGACACTATAGCTGACTTGCTGCTGGGTGGTGGGGTCTGGTGGGAGGAGGCAGGTCATGGGGTGTGTCCTGGAAGACGGTGTCTCCCTTCCAGCTCCTCCCCTCTCTCTCTGCTTCCTGTCCACCATGATGTGAGCAGCTTTTCTCCACCAGACCTTCCTGTCATGTTGTTTCTGCCTGAAAGCCAGCTGAACTTGGACTGTAGCCACGAGCCAACATAAACTTCTTTAAGTTGTTGGTGTCAGGTATTTTGTCCTTGTGATGAACAAAGTGACTAAAATAGATTTTGGTATCGAGAGCAGGACATTCATGTGATTACCTGACCACATGGTTTACAAGTCTTTGGTTTTTGGTTTGAGGCAGGGTCTCATTGTTTAGTTCATGCTGGCCTTAAACTATGTCTCCCAGGCTGGCCTCAAACTTGAGGCAACCTTCCCACTTCAGCCTCCTGAATGCTGGGATTATAGGTGTGTGCCACCATGCCCATGCTTCTAAAAGCCTTTGGAAGTGGTTCACAGTTAGAGTACAAAGGTTTGGAGATGACAGCTAGAGAAGCTCTACCTAGAATGCTGTAAGTTAAGCTGTATGGGAGATTCTGATCAGAGTTCAGAAGAATGGAATGCTCATAGAAATGTAAATAGTAGTAAAAAAAAAAAAAGAAATTTAAATGGTAAAAACCATGCTCAAGTTTTTGTTTGGAACAAGGGCTCCACTGGCAGATGGGCTAGAGGCTATGTATATTAAACTCTGGAAAAAATTTGTCTACACTTTGTACATGTCCTGAGAGTTGTGAGGGTAGCAGTCTAATTTGGCAGAAGAAATTTCAAGGCAGCCCAATGCTGAGGCTGAGGCATGGGAACTGCTTGTAGCTTTCAGCCAGGTTTATACTGAAAATCAGGAGCCAAAAGCCCATTTGAAGAGTTTTAAATTTCTCTAGAAAGGAAGGCCTGCAAAGTTGAAGTACAAGAAAGCTTGGTTGCTAAAAATAAAAAGAAACAAAGTATTTTCTATCAGGACAATAGGAAAGACACTTTGAGGGCATCTCAGAAATTAGCAAGCACCTACCTCCACTTCATAAGCGCAAGGGTTCAAAAGTGAAACACTGCTTTGAGAAGACAGCTAGCCTCGGCACCATGTTGGAAAAAGGCCGCCTTGGGACTTGGTTCCCCAGAATTTGGTTCAAAGAATTCAGCCATCTAGGGACTTAAGCATCCTTTGCAGCAATCATCCAAGCTATTGCTTGAGTGGCAGACCTGGGTTATCATTCACATGGTGCTGGTTTTACAGAGTTGTAGAATACCAGAGTTGTGGGTCAGGAAGGCTTCCACCGAGACTTCAAAGGAAGGCTGGGGAAGCCAGGCAGTGTGTCTGAGAGGGAGTGAATGAAGCTGTGATTGTGAAACCAAAATTTCAGTGGAGACTCCAGGCAGTTGGAGATGCCTGTAATGTAGAATGTCTGCTTACGAAAGCTGAAAGTAGTGAGTGGAGACGACCTGAGAGAGGACGTGAGGGCTGACAATGGTGATGCCAGAGGGGTGAGGCTGCCCCAGCTCTTTGGTGTTCACATTACATCACAACTTACCCTGGATGCTGGATATGAAGCTACAGGATTTAATATGTGTCCTGCTGTGTTTCAGTCTTGTTTTTTAGACAGGGTCTTGTCAGGTAGTTCAGGCTGGTCTTGAACTTAGTGTATAAGCCCAGGCTGGCCTCGAACTTGTAGCGACCTTCCTGCCTCAGCCTCCTGAGTGTTGGGATTATAGGCATACATCACTACACCTGGCATGGGTTTTGGTCTTGCTATGTCCCTTTTTTTCTATTTCCCTATTCCTCCCTTTTAGAATGGTAATGTTTACCCTGTGCCATTGTATATTAGCAGTGTTTTACAGGGGCTCACAGCTTAGTTTGCCTTGAGTCTGAGATACTGGGCCTGAATTTGTCAGCAATGCCAAAACAATTAAAAAACTCTGGTGACTTTTTTTTTTTTTAGACAGGGTCTTGCTGTTTAGGCCAGGCTGGTCTTGAACTCATGGCAATCTTCCTGCCTCAGCCTTGCAAGTCTTAGGATTACAGATGTGCACCTGGAAAATTTGAAGTTTTGTTTTTTACCAGGGATCGAACTTGGGTCCTTGCACTTACAAGGCAGGTGGCAGCACTTTATTTTTCGACACAGGGTCTTGTTATGTGTCCTAGGCTTGCCTCAAAATTGTACTGATCCTCCTGCCTCAGCCTCCCAAGTGCTGGAATTACAGCTGTGTATCACTACATCTGGCCAGAGGTGGACTAAATGCATTCTGCATAAAGAAATGGATACAAGTCTTTTGGGGACAAGGGCAGAATGTTATGGTTTAGATTAAGAACGTTTCTTAAAACTGTCATATACTCAGAAGTGGGGCTTTTGGAAGGTGATTTAACCATAACTGACTTACTGTTAGGAGGTGTGGGTACTAGGGCTGTTATTGGAAGGGTTCTGTCTCCCTACCCAGCTCCTCTCTCCTCTGCCTCCTGGCACCATGATATGAGCAGCTTTCTTCCGCTAGTCCCTTCCATCATGCTGTTCCTGCCTGGGAGCCAGCCAACCATCAGCTATAACTTTGAGCCAAAGTAAATCTCTCCTCTTTTAACCTGTGGGTGTCAGGTGTGTTTTCCCAGTTATAAAGAAAGTGCCTAAGACACCCTCCTTTCAGTTTAACAGGCTTAAAGTCTAGGCTACAGAATCCCCTCAGAAATGTTGTTATTGAAACATGATAGTGAAAAATTGGTTTTAGGGGTTAAGGAGGGAAGTTTTTGTTTTGTTTTGGTATCAGGGATCGAACTCGGGAAGGAGGCAGCTTTTGATAAAAGTACAATGGGTAGGTGTGGACTCCCTGCTCTTGTTTCACTGGTGTGAGAGCTGCACTCAATCAGTAAAACATGAGGAGCCCTTATAAGACTCCCTGCAGATGTCTCCAGCTGGGAAAGCACGTGTGAGGAAAAAAGGGGTCCATCATCCTCCGCTTAGCACTGGAATAGAATGTTGGCTTGTACTTGAGTGAAAGAAAAAACAAGTCTCCACACTCAGTGTGACTATCTTTGGAATTCTTCATTAAGGTTTTCACAAAATACAAAGCTCAAACATAATCGTCTAAGTCCACCACAAAACAGAATCAAGTAAGTGGTTAGCACACAAACATAATGATCTTTTTCATTTTTAAAAATATAAATAACAGTGTTCAAGGTTTTACAGTTTTCTTCTCAGTGTGTTGTCTTGTTAAGGCTTTAGGTTGTAGACCCTTCATTAATGATACTTGCATCTCACTATCAGGATATACTGCCCACCAGCAGGGAAGGCCACTGTGGGTACATTCCTGAGGGTGACACACACTGACCCACGCTGCCTTGCCTGTTAAAATCTAAACTCCAATCAGTTCTCAGTGTCATTAACTTGCTTTCTACTGCAAAGAACAGAAAGGGGTAAGTTTCCAGCAGCATTTGAGTTCTCAGATCAATCATGAAGGGCAAGAAGGAAAAGCAGGCTTCTTCCTGGACAGAACTGTTTTCTTTTTGTCCAGGAAAATCCCATAACCGACACAATTTGAATGGTGGTTTGCAGTAAAAAAAAAATTTTTTTTTTCCAGATTAAATAGTGTTGAGAGAAGCAATGATCTTTTGGCTGGGTATTTTAGAAGAGGTTAAAGTGGAGAGGTTACTGTTGAAAAAACACGACTGAAAGTACATCTGCCAAGAGGAGTTGTCTGGTCTGGGAGGTCTGGGGGCAGAGTGAGAGCCCCAACCTTGGGAGTGAAGTCGGAGGGAAGGCTTTCCAGCAGACACTTCACCTGCTCCTGGCCCAGCTTTATCTTGTCATCCAGCTTTCGCTGCTCGATGAGAAGCGTTGACTTCATTTTCACAAAATGCTGGTAATCCTGGAGTTGTTCTTCGGAGAGGTAATTGGCCAGGATGTCTAGCACAACCCGCTCCCTCCGATCCAGGTTCTCCTTGAGCTCTCGGGCATCCTCATGCTGTCCAGCCAGGATCTTCCTCTTCTCATTCAGAGAGCTCTGTCAGGGCAGAGTGGACAGGTCAGCAATGGGCACTTGGAAGCAAGAGTCAGCTCCCCGCAGACAGCCTTTCACAGGACCACAAAATATCCACATTCCTATTTCAGTAGTGGCTCACTGTCTACTTCCATGGCCAGTAAGGAGACTGACACTGTGAAAATCAGCTCAAGACCTGACATTGTATATTATATAATTTTCCCCCTGTAAAGTTATTTGGTAGCTTCAAGTTGAGAGGAAGGGGTTACATTAAACGGCTAGGCTAATGACTCGACTTCTAGGGTCTACACTTAAAAGAACGATCAAGGAACCCTGAGTAATACAGTGTTTCTCACAGTGTGGCTGTTAAACCAGCTGAATTTGTTAGATACACAAGTTTTCAGCCTCTGAATAAAATACTTGAGAAAGGGGACCTAGAAATCTTTTATCAGGACTTCCTGGTGATTCTTTTACAGATTTTTTAAAGTTTAAGAACCTTTCCTAAACATTAACACTGGGGATATCATATTTCCTATCTCCAAAGAAATCAGTTTCCATTTTTCTGGCTTTTTCAAGCCTCTGAATAAAAAATTAGAGAAATTTTATTCAATAGTGATGCTGATTTCATATTCTAAGTTTCCTACACAAGCCCAATGATTAGGGAGCATACCTCAAACGAATTTACTTGATCCAAATCTCTACCATGATTTTTAATCCAACATAATGAATGCTGTTGTGAAATTTAAAAAAACTTTAATATTTAACCTGTCTGCTTTTTCAAGCCAAAGTGATAGGGAGAAATTAAAACTGGAATAAGTTAAAAAAAAATCACTTAAATATCCCTCAATACAAATGAGCTTATTTAGGATTATGAAAAGCTCATGTGCCTTTGTCCTAAATCCCTCCAAACCAGCCAGCCTAGTATTGCCCCAGGGAATGTAAAAGCTATGAGACTTATCTTACAAGGTCTATCTTATCTTTGTAGGATTCTTTCCCCTAATAATAATAATAAAAAAAGACATTCCTGGACGAGGGGGTGGGGAGAGAGATCCAGAACAGTTTGGAGGCACTGCATTTGGATGAAGATCCCTTTCAAAATACTCTACAGAGAACTCTTAAGCACCTTTAAAAGAACTTAGACATTTTAAGCATCCAAAATGTAGAGAGTACCCATGTATTTTGTGCACGCGTCATTAATGGAACGAAACTTAACACAAACACTTTTCGCACTTGCTTTTGGTTAAGTTTTTTTTTTTTTTTTTTAAATTAGAGATTCAGCTGAATTTCCAATACTCTTCCCAAATCTCACCTTCCAGCTGGAAACTATTATTCTGGATTTGGCATTTACTGGACCATCAATTCTTCCCTTTCTTACTTCCATTAGACCAATCATGATAAAAACTAACACAGATGTGTTAAGGAGTCCCTGAGATTGCACATGAAGTGTTCACAGCACTGGATGAACTGATCTGATCTGATGAGCACTGCTGTTCCCTCAGACGTGGTGACTGGAGAGACCCCTCCAAGCACTCTCCTAGTTCCCATGGCCCCTGACAGCAGATTCCCTGGAGCATGGACCTTATGTCCCTGTCCCTTCCAACAGTTTTGTTTTGTCCCTCTTTTTTTTAAAGGTCAACACTTACCATGTTTGAGAAAGGAAGAAAAATAGGAGGAAAGAAACTCTCACACCTGTCTTTATTTCCCCAAGTACTCTGGGCCTTAAATGAAGCCTTTACTTCTTGGCATGGAAGATGCCACCTTCTCTGTCTTGGTTATATGTTCTCCCCAGCTCCAAAGTGACTGTAACCTTGAGAGAAGGCATTGTGTCTAATGACCCTTCTCTTGTGTGTGTGAGCTCAGAGGGAAAATGTGCTGAAGCGAGTTGCTAGGCCACATACCCTTTCTTCATTACTAGCATCTTCGCCAAGGCCACTGAGGACATTCTCAACGCGGGCCAGGCGCCCCGAGAGGGACAGCAGCAGGCTCACCACCTTGTCCAGGTCACCTATGAACATCTTGTATTTGTCAAACTCATTGGGCTTGCAGAGCTCACTGATCAGAGCCTCCACCTCCTCTCCCAAGGCATTGTTAAGCTTGATGTCCATGAGTAGACTCTGCTTCGCTTCCTGGAGGGTCTCGAGCTTGTGGGTGAGGCTTTCTATGAGCTCAGCCTGTAATGACAGGAGAAACACATGGCAGAGGGCAGCCGGCAGCATAAGGGGACTCATGTCTCCCATCCCCCATCTCTAAGGATGTCCCCAACACCAGGACATACTACCCTTCTTCCTCCCAGATGTGCACAAATGCCTTCCTCTGAAGCCCTCAGTCTTTGGAGGCCAATGCCTGACCACACAATCTCCTTATTGTGTTTTCCACTGTGTCATGCCATGTAGTCTCTGCCTTCCCAGACAGCTTGTAAACTATGCACATTTAACAGGCCCTTTGAGACATGTCCTCATTCAATAAAACAATGCCACAGGAAAGTGGGTAAACATTTTTGTTTTACAACTACAGAAGCCAAGATTCAAGCCATGAAAGGATCTGCGCAAGAAAGGGCTGAGGGCTGAGTTGAATGTCAGTTGTAGCTACAGTGTGTGGAGCAATTCCTCTATACCACACGCAGTGTGAGAAACTGCACTGATACTTCTCTTCCCCAGAGATAAAGGAGGATGTGAGGACTTTGTGGGGTGAATTTATGGCCTAATACACACATGCACCATGTGGTAGGGACCTTCTCAGGCTATCTGGCTTTTGGGGCCACCCTTGTACAATCATAAATGTGGCACTGGTATTTATGAAAGAAAGTCAGTCCTTTGCTATTTCTCCTACTGTCTCCACTTTACAAACTATATAATTTAACCCCTAAATTACAAATTGCTGTACTTACACAACAGGGCTACAGAAAATGTCAAGTATATTTACATGAAGGAATGAAGTAAATGTCTTAGAGGTCTCAAGCCTGACTTCATTTACCTTATATGTCTGCTACTACTTTGCAGCAAGATAAATTAAACTGTGTGGTTTTTGTAATTAGCCTTTCATCCTTCTCTTAGCTTAAAGTAGCCAGATAGAAAAAGGCCATAATCTCTTCTGGGTAAAATATTTCTTTACCACTAAAAAGGTTCCAGCTGCACGTGCGCACGCGCGCACACACACACACACACACACACACACACACACACACTTACTTTAAGGCCAAGTTATATGGCTCCAAATGCAAATGTGGTTAAAAATACAAGTCAAATCACTGTGTTGGAATATATGGAGTGCGATTAAACAACTATGGTGAATGGCTGCCAAGTAGCATCCAACGGAAAGGCAAGGACCTTTAATATGAGAAGCAGCACATCAAACCTTAACGCCAGCATGTCACACGTTTCGGAGGAGGTTGTGAGATACAGTGGGAGAACATGTATTTTCAAGTGTAGCATGAACCATAGATTATGAACAGTGGATTAACATGAAATTTGGTCATTTACTTGGGAGTTGAATGATGGTGCCACTTCAGAGTCTGGCTTTTCTTTCTCCAATGGCAACAAGGCTTGTTAGGAAACCGCAGCATTCCCACAGTCCCTAGTTGCAAACCAGGCACTGGAGGCGTCTTTCTCCCTCAGAACTCCTGCTCTGGTCACTGGTTTCCTGCTGGTGGCAGGAAGGTGCATTTAGCCCCAGGACAGAGATGCACCTCATGGGGGACCAGCGGGCTTTGGGTGCCTTTTCAGTTGAGCAACTACCATGTGTGCCTCGGAAGGGCTGAATGACCGGGTGACTGAAAAGTAACTGAAGCCAGATGTGGTAGGTCACGCCTGTAATCCAGCACTTGGGAGGCTGAGGCAGGGAGATTGCTGTGAGTTCGAGGCCAGCCTGGGCTACATGGCAAGATCCAGTCTCAAAAAATCCATGACAGCACAATGGGAGATGCTCACAAAAGAGAGCTTCCAGCACTGCTTCAAAAAGTGGCAAGAATAGGGCCGGAGATTTAGCTCAGTGGTTCTGGCGACTGCCTCGCAAGTGCAAGGACCTGAGTTCGATTCCCAGTGTTAAAAAAAAAAAAAAAAAAAAAA